TGTCAACCTGTGGGTCGCGACCCCTTTGGGGGTTGAACCATCCTTTCACAGGGGTCACCTAAATATATCCTGCATACCAGATATTTACATTATAGTTCATAACAGTAGCAAAATTACAGTTATGAAGTAGCAACAAAAATAATTTTATGGTTGGGGGTCACCACAACATGAGGAACTGTATTAAAGGGTCACGGCATTAAGAAGGTTGAGAACCACTGCTCTAGGAACTCAAGTGATCTTCATGCCTCAACCTCCCAAGTAGCTGGAAATACAGACATCTGCCACAATGCCTGGCTAGTTTTTCTGTTTTTAAGAGACATGGGATCTCCCTGTTGCTCAGACTTGTCTTAAACTCCTGAGCTCAGGCAATCCTCCTGCCTCAGCCTCCCCAAGTGGTAAGATTACAGGCATGAGCCACTGCACCTGGCCTGTAATTTATTTTTAAATAACTCCAGACCAGCACAGTGGCTCATGCCTGTAATCCCAGTAGTTTGGGAGGCTAAGTTGGGAGGACTGTTTGAGGCTAAGACCAGCCTGAGTAACACAGTGAGACCTCATCTCTAAAAATTAAATTAAAAAAAATTAGCTAGGCTTAGTGGCCCTTTCCTGTAGTCCCAGTTACTCAGAAGGCTGGAATGGGAGGACCACTTGAGCTCAGGAGTTTGAGGCTGCAGTAAGCTGTGATTGTGCCACTGCATTCCAGCCTGGGCAAAAGAGCGAGACCCTGTCTCTAGAAAAAAACAAAACCAAAGCCAAAACAGTACTTTTAAAAAAGTACAACAGAACTCCAAAGGACTATAACAAAGTGGTCAACATACGGAGATAGTCAATATAAGGAATTTTGATGGAGTACATGTGGTACATGTCTAGTCTATGAAAATTAGGTCAACCCTAAGGAGGTGGTAAATGTAATTTCCAAGAGAAGTATAACTATATAGAGAAATAAAGCAACAATATGGCAAACAATTGTAGAATTTGGTTGGCAAGTCTGTAATGTTCACTGTACTTCCAAGTTTCTTTTAATGTATGAACAGTTTAATGAAAAAAGTGAAGGGAAACTCATGGAAAATGTTAAATGACAAAAAGTCTTCAAAATTGAATTAGAAATCAGCATAATTAGAAAAAATAGATTAACATTTTCTAATCTCAAGACCTCTAGGAAGGGTGATACATCGCAAATGGTCCTCTATGCATTTTATCATTTCCTCACAAAATAAACCTAACTTGCACAACGATAAATGCTAAGGAAACCTACCACCCACTCTTATTCCCAAATTATTTTTGGGAAAAAATTGTTTTTAGCTATGTTTCTTCCATTACTTAATATTATAGAAATTAAATAAATTTCATTACATTACTAATTATCAATTCAGCTAGTCATATAAAAAACTACAATTGTAACAAAGTCATATAAAAAATGTAATGCCAGAGAAAAGATGGTAGTTATGAAAGACAGATAATGATAACTTAGTTCTTTTGCAGGCAGTGAGGTTTCAAATGTAGTCTCAAGTACATTGACTCCAAGAGTTGTACCACTGGAGGTGATTTGACAAAAACTGCATTAACTTGATCCACCAATTTTAATGTATAAAACATCCTCCTACAGAACTATTAAGACTCTTGTGAGGTCTGTAATAGG